TCATATTCTGGTCTACCCTCAAGGAACCAGTAGATCAAGCAGGAGCAATTATTTAAGGCTTTTGCAAAAGGAAGAGGATGGGACAGCTAAATCTCACAAAAGGGAATCAGCATCTTAGACCTGCAAAGATGACCTTGGCAGTATCTCTCAAAGTGCCCTCCATTTGTCCCCAAACATTAGTATTGGGAGGTGTTGGTAAGTGTTCATTGTGGAAGCATCAGTGATCCAAGAAGCTTGAGAAATAGCTCTTATTTCAGAACTTCTTGGGCCGGGGATTTAGCTCAGTGGTTCCAGAGCCTGCCTCGAAAGCACAAGGTCCCGAGTTCGATCCCCAGTACCAAAAAAACAAACAAACAGAACTTCTTGGAGACTTGATCATGGAGTGGAGCATTCTGGGAGATAAAAGACACTGAACTTACAGCCCTTGTATTTGAAGAGAATCTCACTAGATGTCTTTCTGCTTTAAAAAGACTCAACAATAGCACTTATGGATAACTTACTGCATTCCAAGTACTGTTACGTAACATATATGCACTATCTCATTAATTCTCAGAAAAATCCATTAAGTGGATACTGGTATTGTTATCATTTTAATAAGGCTTTTTTTTTCCCCCCCTGTACCGGGATTGAACTTGGGACCTTGCGTTTGCAAGGCAGGTGGTGGAACCACTGAGCTAAATCCCTGGCTAAAAAACAATGTCTTTTTTTTTTTTTGGTATCAGAGATCGAACTCAGAACCCTGAGCATGCAAGGCAGGCAGCAAAACCACTGAGCTAAATCCCCGGCCCATCATTTTAAAGATAAGGAAACTGAGGCTCAGGGAGTAACATGCTCAAGGTCACAAGACTCCAAGAAGTAAAAAAGAAGTATTCCAAACTCTTCTTATTCCAGAATCTACAACATTATTAGGCCCAGGAGAGAGCATGTCATATTCCCACAGCTGGCAGGCCACGATGGATCTGGATATGGGTTTCTTGACTTCTCTTCCATTTGCTTTCTTATACTTTGCTGTTGCTTCTAGACTCATGACTGTGTCAGATGGTGGGTATCATCCATCTCCGTACTCTGTACTTTCTCACCTGAAGAAGCAGAACCTCTGGGCGTGATCCTGTTCATCACTAATACACGGATGGCCTCACATTCACCCCTATGTACCTGATATGAGACCAAGTCCCTGAGATGGCCCTATTATAGGCTGGACTGTCCACCATAGGCTCTGCTCACGGAAGCCCTAGACCACTCTAGCATGCGGTTTTACATTGTGAAAGAACAGAATACTATTTTGTGACACTGGTGAAAATTAGATGAAATCCAAATGTCAGTGTCCATAAATGAAGTTCTATTGGCCACAGCTGCTCATTTGTTTGCATACTCTCTATGGCTATTGTGTTCCAGCAGCAGAGCCGAGGAGCTATAATGGACCCCAGGGTCTGTAAAGCCTGAAATATTTACTCTTTGATGCTTGATAGAAAACGTTTGTTGATTCTTCATCCAGATGAAATCAAATTCCAATAATGTAATTATCCATGCCTGATGATTTCCTTCTCCAGTAGCTGCTTTCATCCATGCTTCTCAGAAGCTGTCAGGAATGAAGGGGCCTGACAGCCTCAGGAATGGAGGAAGGTGCAGGCCAGGCAGGGGCAATTGTCCTCTGCCCTGTGGGCCCGCAAGTAAGTTCCCTTCACTTGGCCATGGGGTATGCTCTGATTGAATGGGTTCTTGTCCATCTACTTAGAGCCCTATCTGTATCTACCTCCATCTCTCTGTAGATTATACCCACATGTATATAAATTATATAGGTGTGCATAATATAGAAAACTTTATGCTAGTGATAAATGCTATAAAAATAAAGTATGTGAAAGAGGTAGTGATGGGAGGCATTTCTTCAAAAGGGGCAAGGGAAGGTCTCTCAGGTGCCATGAGCAAAGACCTGTCTGAAGCAGTGAAGTACTGATGCATTCCAGGCAGTGCAAAGGCCCTGGGATGGAACTGTCCTCTGTCCAAGAAAGACAAGATGGCTTGGGGGCAGAGCCAGGGGGTGGGGGTGGGTGCTAGGTGGGAAGTGAGCCTGAGGAGTAAGGAGCGGCAGATGGAGAACAATCACAGGCCAAGGACAGGTGTCTGGATGATACCTTAAGTGCAGTTAAGTCTCCAGAGTGACCTGGGGCACGGTATAATCTGTTCTACAGATTTCAAAGATCTCTGTGGAGACTGAACCATTGGACCTCCTGTGGGTCCTCAGGCAGGGCTTCCCTGAAGCAAAGATCTCTGAACATCAGGTGGTAAGCAGGCTGCCAAAGAGGCTGCAGCCTGGCTGGGGAAGGCAAGGGTCAGGTCAGGCGGAGTGGTGGACTCAGGATGGTCCTTCAGACTTCCCCTCCTCTAGTCTCCTCTTTACCTCCTCTGTCCCTATTTTCTCTGGGCACCATGGCCCCTGCAGTTCACCCTCCTCAGGCCAGCTACCATGCTGATGCACCTGTCAAGTGCCTCTTCTGGGCCAAGTTCCTGGCTGATAGGGAGTAGGTGGCTCAGAGCAGGTATTTATCAAAAAAACCAGGAGCTGGTGCTGGAAGGACAGCCGAAGTGGGCTACATGGGGATTCATGAGAACCATTCCACTGGCATAGTTCAGTGTTCCAGATTATTCCCTTAAGGATCTGGGTGACACACCTCTTGTCCTCACGGATGGAGCCTGACACTCAGCACACAGAGCCATATCCTATGGCAGTTCTACACCACCCAAGCCCAAACTCAACACTGTGAGCTCCTCCAAGCCACTTCACTTTGGAGCCCTGCCCTAATCCCACAGTGCCTGGGACACTGGGGTAGGTGGAAATGCTCCCTGAAGTAGTGCCCACCACTCCATGGACTGGATAGTTATTACTATCGATGAGAAAATTTAGTCAGAAAGGTGACCTACCTCAAGGTTAAAGGCTGGTCAACGGCGGAGGCAGACTGTGTTAATTCTGCTAGGTATAGGCTGTGCTCCTCATACTTACTGGATCAATCATTGACTGAATTTACAATCTAAAACATCAGTGGGCTATTCTCCAATTCACCACTACTTATACAAGAAAGCAGACATCTGTAAGCTGTGACCACTTTACACCCACCAGGCTGGCTAAAAAAAGAATATATGGCAAAAGCACTGTTGGTGGGAATGTACAATGGTGAAAATGTGGCCAAAAAACAAAAAAAGTGACCAAATAACTCAGCAGCCCAGGGAAACTGAAAACACAAAATTTATAGACAAATGTTTGCATCAATATGATTCCTAATAGCTAAGAAGTGAACAGTCCAAATGACCATCAACTGATGGACAAAATGTGATATAGTCATACAGTGGAATATTAAGGGAAAAAAAGGAATGAAAGCTGGGCATTATAGCACACACCTGTAATCTCAGCACTTGGGAGGCTGAGGCAGGAGGATTGCAGCCTGGGCAATATAGTGAGCTCAAGGTCAGCCTGAACTACATAGCAAGACTGCCTCAAAAACATAACTAAATGAAAGAATCCAGCTATAAAAGGCTATATGTTGAATTCCATTTATAGGCAAAGTCCCAAACTGACCAGCCTATAGACATAAAGATCAATGGCTGCAGGGGCAGGTGTATGTGTAAGGCAGTGGGTGGGGAAACTTAGAAGTGTCTGCTAATGGGCATGTGTTTCTAAGGTGACAGAAATGTTCTATAATTAGATCATGGTAATGGCTGCACAACTGATTTGTACATTTCCAGAGTGAATTATCTCAATAAACCTGTTAATCAAAAACAAAACTTGTCTTCTTCAAGCTCTAGGTTACTATCTAAAGTAAGGGCAGCAAGAAGCTTCTTCCCAGCAGCCACTGGACCCCAAACCCCAGGCTGGGAATGTAGCTTGCTCACTCCAGGATTAGGCAGGAAGCCTATCTTATCTTTGCCTCTAGCTAACACATTCCAAAATCCTGACTCCATCCTCCTGTGGTTTGATTTTCCTGGGCTCACAGGTCTCTCCTCAGGAAAGGCCTGGAATGGGGTAGGGGGTACCTCCACATCAAATGTCAACCCTTCTGACAGGTGGGCTTCACCAAAGCTACACAGGGCCGGGAAAGTCAGCCTTAACATTCCCTGGACTCCAGGAGAATCCCAAGCAACTCTTCAGAAAAGGATATCTCAAATTCATTTGCTGGGAGTCTATGATGTGCTGGGCCCAGTACTAGGTTTTTCTTTAGCCTTTGATAACTCTGAAGATAGCTACCATCAACTCTACATTACAAGAGGAAACAATCTGTGACAGTGCTGCCTGCCCCAGCTGGTAAGTGACATAAGTCTGTTCTTCCCAGTCCCCATGTACTCACTCAATTTCCTCATTAGTAGAGGGGCACACATCACAGCTACCAGGCAGTATGGTAGAGGTAAAAGAGGTGGATGGTTCTTAACAAATTCCAGTCCTTTTTCTTCACAGAATGTGACTTTTCTTGGCCCAGGCAGAGGGAGATGGGCTGTGTGCTCTTTTCCCCACTCCCAATCCAATCACTGTGGCCTGGCTATATCAGACCCTTTGCTCTGGGGACATGGACGCTCCCACCTCAGTCCTCAGAGTTGTTCTGCCCATTTTCCAGAACTGGACTCCTACTCTGCTGGTGTGGTGGAGACCTGTCATATCTGTTAAAAATTTCTCAGGGTTGAAACAGGTAGATCTGGGGTTGAAAGGGCCTTGGAGCTGACTGGAGGAGGGGCCGCCCATGGTTGCACGGGCCCTGGAAGAACAGATCTGGCTTAATCTCGATCCTGGATGCCCCCAGGTACTAGTGGCTCAATTTTAGACAGGTGCCCATTTCTTAGATGTAGAATGGGAAGACTGGTTGAGGGCCATAAAGCAATTTCTCAGGCACAAAACACTGAGGCAAAGAACATCCTTTTCCCTCATGAGACCTACCAATGGTGACTGTAAAGACGTGCTGTGAGCTTGGACTGGTTTATCTGCCCTAACAGGTGGCAACAAAATCACAAAACACTCATTTTCAAATCACATATGGCTTCTTCAACCCCATCAAATAACTTTATTCACACAAACGTCCCTTAATTTACAAAGCCTCAGTCATTCATACACATTAGGGGGATCCACAGTGTTCAAGGAACTTAAATATAATGTATCATACCAACCCAAGTAAACCAAGTACAAAAAATATTCTTATAAAGTTGTTCACACATAGGTCCTAGATTACCAGCTTCTGTGCCAAAAAAAAAAAAAAAGAAAGAAAAGAAAAATAGATTAATTAGTATTTGAAACTAACTTTGTGCCTGGCTTAAAACTCTCTCACACCCAAGACTGTCCCAATGAATGTTAAGAAGTCAGTAAAATATCCTCTGCTCTGATGGAAAGACACCTCTGGGCCACAAGATGTCCCTAAATAAGCTCCCTTTCTCCTCTGGCCTCTGGAAAACATGTGTGGGGTCTCCTTCTGATACCCTCTGTAATCCTAGCAGCCCTTGGGCAATCCATGGCAGTGGACTCATTGTGGTGATGGCTGTGGATGCCAATGTTGCTCCTACTGGTTACTCTTTGGGAACATATTTTTAGGCAACAGCCCCCTGCCCTCAAGACAAGGCAAGGCAGGATATGAGATGGACCTGTGCTGATCCGAAGGCCACCATAGCTCAGCATGGGAGGGGACAGAAGCAGTAGCCCTGGGCTTCTGGGGCCCTGGAGAGCCAAGTAGTGAGGCATAGCTGTTCTGAGGTTGCCAGGCCTCAGAGGCACAGTAGCTGTTTGTGTAAAGACTGCCAGGTACCCTCAGGAGGATAACCAATAGACCCATCTGGAGCAAGAGCCACCAGTGCCTCTAGGTGTTAAGAGGAGGGGTGTCTGTAGAAGGGATGGCCAATCAAGCTTGGTGGGCAGGGCTGGAAGGGGCAGCAAGGAGCAAGGCAAGGGCAATTGGGGGCAGCAGCCTGTTTCCAAAAGGTGCCCTGAGGCTAAAACCCAGATGGCTGTCCTTTAAAGTTCTGTCTTCTATAAAGGTAAACAGCCAATAGCTTAAAAATTTCCCACAGCGCCAGCTCTTTTCCTTTTCTTAGAAAAAGATTCAAACAAAAATAATAATCTTATTGCTCCAAACATTGGTTTTTAGGATAGGAGACAAGTGATATGTTAAGGAGCTAAGAATCTTGGAAGGGAATGAGAGATGGGGAATGTCTGGGGCAAGGCCAGAAGGAAGGTGGGCGGTGGTCTTAGCACCACAGGGTCAGGGAGCAGAGGAAGTGAAATAAGGCCTTTGCCCCCACCCTAGGCTTCTGTTTTTATTCCCTTTAGGGGAACCACTGGCAGTGCCCTAAAGGAGGCCAGGCCCTGTCCAGGGTCACCTCTCCACCCAGTGTGGGCCACTTCTCCAGCTGTAAACAGGGTATTTCTTAAGTAAACATTTAGTACACTCCCTCAGAAAGGCAGTCATGGAGGGCAATCCCCTTCAGGGTTGGAGGAAAGAGTTCCGCGACCTGTCCCAAGGCCCAGGGAGAGACCAGGCCAAGGCCTGTATCCTTAGTCCCCAGTGCCCTGAAGGGGGTCAGATGGAGCCAGTCTAGAAGAAGCAGACAGTGGCAACCTCCTGACTAGAGGTAAGAGGCAGAGAGGAGGGGTGCTGGGGAGGAAGAGGCAGACTGCACCTATCTGCAGCAGCTTTTCTGTCCTAGGCTAAAGCTGCTAACTAGAGTGTCCTGGAGTGGGTGGGGGATGTATGCCTGGTTACAGCCCTCAGGAAGCGGGGTGGGGGGGGGCTGAGGGTCATCCTTCCCCTGTGGCTATCTGTGGATGGAGAGGGAGAGTGCAAGTGAGAAGGAAGCCCCACTTCCAGCTGAGCCAGGTGTGGTGGGGGTGGTTGGGGGGACGACAATGGAATAAGGCACTATGATCTGTTCCACTGATTCCTCTCTCTGATGGGGGACACAAGTCCAGACCCATGCGGCCTGAGGACAAGGCAGTCCCTCCAGCAGGACATCCTTTTCATAGACACAAGGAGAAGAAAATGATCAACTGCTGTCACAAGGTTTGCTAACTCCTAGAACTTGTTTAGAACTAAGTCTAACAAACTTAGTGGTGCTGAGATGATGCCCCATAGAGCAGCAGGCAGGCAGACTCAGGTAGGCAGAGGCAGAAAGAGGAAGCAACAGAAAGGGAAGCTGATCCCATCAGGGGAGGGAGGAGAGTGGCTGACCCAAGGATGACCCCTGACCATGGTAGAGCCGGCCTGTGTGCAGAGCCAGGTTCCACCTGGCTGGTTGGGTGCCTGCAATGGACAGAGTAGAGAGAGCAGGAGAGAAGAGGGACTGGCACTTGAGGCTAAAGAGCTGCCCTCGTTTGAGCTAGGCAAGAGGTCCTGCTACCCAGCAGGAGCAGGCTGGGAGTGCCAGAGGGTAAGAGCACAGGGAAGAGACTCCCCTTATCAGGCTGCCCACCAAGACCTGCAGGATGTACCAAAGGAAGCACTACAGCCTCAAGACCTTATTCAGACAGAGCTCAGAGACTTGGCAGAGCAGGAGAAATTGAGAGACAAAAAGCAGGTGACTTGTTAGGCCCGAGCCCTCACCAAGGATTCTAGAGTATTGGGGGCACCAAATTTGGAGACTGTTTTTCCCATATGCTCAGTACACAGACAGCTGCCCCAAGGGAGGACAGGGTTGTGGGGTCAAACAGGAACACACACTACAATTAAGGAACACTGCTGCCCCAACCCTCCAAGCTGCAACTCAGAGTACACTCAGGAGGCTTCCTGGGAAGTCAGGGAGGAGGCAAGAGACAGGCCATCATGGTTTATCAGCCTAGGGAGGGAAGGGCTGTTACCACCTGCAGCCTGTTGGGCCCTGTGGACAGGCGTCAGCCATCTGCCCAGGTAAAGGGAAGAGCCTTGCTGCCTAGGGCCTGAGAAGGCTGGAGTGGGAATGGACAAATAGGGTGTGATGTTGGGTTGGTCTCTCCCACACACACTCCCAGAACTACAGGACTGCTACTTGAGAAGATCTCCTCCTTTGGTCACACACTAACCGAAATACCCTCCAACCACATCCCCATCAAAACAAAGAACAAAAACGAACACAAACCATTCCTTTCCCTTCCTTAATGCCCTCATTCCACTTAGCCAGAACAGGGTAAAAAACCTGGAAAAAGTCTAGAGCACCCAGGTGCACATCCAGATAGAAGGTAACGCAGCAGCCAAGAAGGCTACAATAGCGTTGTCAGTGGAAGGGTGGCTGCAAACAGAGATAGCGGCAGTGGGGTTGCAGGGGTCATGGACAAGATGCTTTAAAGTGGCAAGGACCCAAAAAGGTCCTTAACAGCCTCCAGGACTCTGTGGGCCTGACCCATCCTGCTTGGGGCAGGTCCTTCTCTTCCCATTAGATACATTGATGTTGTGAGTGGGCACCTGGGGTAAGGGAGATGGCGCTTGATAGTGTCTGTTACTGGATGTGACACTGTGGACCCTGCACACAGGGTATAACTTTCACTGCGAGGAGAAGACGGCAGCAGCCAGTTCAGGAAAAGGGTCATCTGAGGGCACACTGGGAAGACGATGGTCCAGGAAGCAGGAGGTGAGGGTGCCTCCCTCACAGTGGTGCTGGTGCCCAAGAAGACCCTGTGTAACCTAGGCAGAGGTTTGGCACAATAGTCCTCATGGAAGGCCTGAGGAGCTGGGGTGGGGGATGGTCATGCTCTACCTCCCCCCTCAGGCTCGAAGTTACAGAGGGCAAAAGAGGGGACCAATTTCCATCACTGTGAGTCCTGCTGTGGCCTGGGGCCGCCAGCAGCTTCAAGAGAACCAAACTGGCATTTCTGCCTCCTTCTGGGATCCTCCTGGCTAAACCCTGGTTGTCTTCTTCCTGGTGGTTCTATGCCTCTGATGCTGTCCGAGGCCCAAGAGGCAGCCAGGACCAGCCCACCAAGGAGTCCAGCAATTCCCACATGGTTTAGGGAGGTGGCCCTTATGTCTTCAAGTCCCATTCCAGGAGAAACCCCAAAATTCTTTCTGGGGTAACAGGTCTTCTCTGGGAAGTGAGACGCTATAAGCAGAACTAAAAGACGTGTAAAGGAAGGAAGACAGGGAAAATGAAGTACAAAACCAAAATTGCTCCCTAACCCCTTGTAAAAATCAACAGAGAAATTAACACATATGCTTTGTCCACACTGAATTTTTTAAAAGAAATGCTGCCTGTTAAGAGCATAGCTTTCTGTTCTTCGGAAGTCTGGATGGTTTAAATTAAAAAAGAAAAAGAAAAAAAGGGCAAAACTAAAAAGTGAGTTGGGAGTGGGGAGTAGAGGAACCAAACAAAAGCTTCACATTGCCGGAGATCCAGCTGTCGGGAGATCGCCAACCAGTCAGGCCACCACCTGTACCTCTGCCGTCCTTTGTGAGACATGATGAGACTGTGGGTCCCGAGGGATCAACCTGGAAGACAGAAGGCACACGAGGAGTGGACACTGATCAGTGGGTTAGGGGTGAAGCCCTCAACCCAAACTGACTCGGAAGCACTGAGTATGCCGGTGGTGGGCAGGCGGGTGGCGGGGGGTTCCCTAAATACACATTTCATATGGAGTAAATCAAATGCCACTAAAAGTACCCTGGCTACAGACACATGCTGAAGTGTCCAAGGTCAGGGTGACTAAGGGAAGAGGGAACTCAGGCTCCAGCTACCAATCTGATCACAAATCTCAGGCATGCCTCATTCCTATCCCACCATCCCTGTACCCTTAGCAGAGAGGCCCCACAGGACCCATTCTGGCCCATCCATCCCTGAGGATCCTGACAGCCTTGGTAAGCTCAGCTTTTCTTGCTGCTTGCTCTCCAACCTTCCTTCTCAAGCTTTCCTATCTTTAGAGGTGAGAAGACTGAAGACCAGCCTCCAAGAACTTTAAGCTGCCTGTTAAGGTCCTAAGGGGAAAAGGGTCCCAGTCCCAAGCCCAGAAGTGGACTCAGCCAGGACTTCCCTGCTCTGCCTACTCCTGGGGTTAACGGCAAGGGTGCTAGAGCCAGAACTGTGGCTCAGAAAACAGGCTTTGCCACTCGACACTGGGCAGATTTGACTTCTCTGTTCCTTGGTCTCATCACCTGTACCAATGTCACAGGTTATTGGGAAGATTACATGGACTAATACAGTCAAGCATGGGTAATGACCTGGACATGCTATGAAAAAAGCATTGTTGGAAGTTCACAGCATATGGTAACACAAACTAAGATAGCTATGATGCCAATGGGAGATATGATCTTTTTTTTTTTGGTACCGGGGATTGAACTCTGGACCTTGAGCTTGCGACACAGGTGCAGCACCACTGAGCTAAATCCCTGGCAATGGGGAATATGATCTTAAGGGAGTGCTGTTGTTGACCAATTGTCATGCAGCACACAACTGTACCTAAGACACTTAAAAGAGTGCCGGACTTTGTTGGCTGTTATTTGGCATCACTGTGGTGCCAGGAACGGAGTAATGCACAAGAAGTTAGGGGCAGGAACTTATTCTAGCAGAAACCTAGAACACAAAAGCAGAGATTAGTCTTGGGCTGGCCCCACACTCAAACTAATCAGAGCTAAGTATAGCCTTGACCCAGGTAGGACTGGCCACTAGGGGAGCAGTGCCCCATCCTCCCTGTACATCACTGAAGAGATTCTGAAGTGCTCAGTTTCACCTGAATGATTTTCCTGTGAGCTTACAACCCCTAGAGAAGCCCCTGGCCCACTCTCTGAGAAGTGTGCCCTCCCAGCCCCATGCCTTCTCCACTGTAACTTGTGCCTGTGCAGTCTGGTAACACTGGCCCAGTGTCTTCATCTCTTAGAGGCAGCATCTGACTTGTCCACAGAAGAGGTGGCGGGATTATGTAATACTGGACAATTTACATTCTGTCAGCTTCAGTCTCTTCCTTTGAAACTTGGGCCCCCCCCCCTTTTTTTTGGTACCGGGGATCAAACTCGGGTCCTTGCGCTTGCACAGCAGGTGGTGAAACCACTGAGCTAAATCACCAGCTGGGGGGCCCTTTTTGAGAACTGAGTAGAATGACAGCTGGTACTTAGACTGCAATAGGTACTGACACATTTGATGAACCCACCCCTTCTTGGCCATTGTCACTAGTTGGACACTGAGCATGGTGGACTTAAAGGGGGCACAGCCCTCAGCCATTTAGCCATCAAAACTGCTTGCGGCTGGGTATGGGCTCCATGGGAAAGATACTCTAAACCCCCAATGCCACTGGCCACGCCTACAAAAGCCTTCAGGAAAGCAGTCTGGCAATATGCTTTCAGGGCTTTAGAGGTGATTATACCTGGAGCTCTCCAATTCCACTCCTGGAAGTCTATCCCCAGTGATAACACCAACTATGGGAAGGACTTTGTAGATAAAGATGTTCATTGCCTTCTTAAATTATGAGGCAGTAACTTGCAGGTCCCAAAATATAGAATGATAAACAAATGATCCTGCAACTCAATGATATCCCACAGAGGAAATGAGATAGCTGTGTGGTGTTCTGAACACTATATCACAAGTCCTTCTCTGGGTTAAATGGAAAAGAGTAAGATACAAGTTGTGTGGCCTAAAGTATGCACATGGTTTGTCCCCCAGCTCATGCTGGAGTTTAAACCCTGCTCTGAAGTAACAGGGAATAACACTTAATCTCTAATCTGACTAGAGTGTTTAGACTGGTGGGGCTTTTGGGAAGAGATTACGATCAGGTAAGGAAGGCCATGAGGGTGAACTCCCATGACTGAATATTGGCCGCTTTCTAAGAGGAAGAGAAACACTCATGCTCCCTGTCTTTTGCCATGTGATGCCCTATACTGCCTTGAAATTCTGTCAGCTTGGCAGCCATCACCAGATGTGGGCCTTTTACCTGGGACCAGAACCATAAGCCAAAATAAAGCTCTTTTCTTCATAACTTACCCAGTTTGTGGTGATGTGTTATTAGCAACAGAATATAAACTAGGATACTGTGACTATGTAAAGCAGCCCCACCACACACACAGCACTGTAGGAAAATCTGGCAAGAAATACATTGAAATTTCCCCATTTTTGTCTTTTAATACTGAACACACATTGCATTGTTATCTTTGACTGTTTGATGGGAAAAATAGTACACTTTAATGAACAAGAAAACTGGGCACTCCAACAAAAAGGTTCAGATGTGGGCTCCTGTCTGGGGTCTTCCATACTGTGGGCAGTGGAGAATTCTCTACATTTGACAAATGAGAGGCTAGATATGTGATTCCTGCCCCACTGACCTTCGGAAGGGGACCTAGTGTCTTTATTTGGAGTGGAGGTAGCTGACACATGCACCTGAAAAGTATATGTTTTGGAAAGAACACACATTTCTCAGGTCCAACCTTTCACTCTGCTGCTTCTGCTCTCCTTGCTAATTTCCCTCAACAAAACCCACTATGAGTTTTGATCCCAATTTTTGACACAGGGGAAGAATCACTATAAACACAGTCCCTGAAGACCAAGGCAGCCATCCCAAACTCCAAATTTAGCTCGCCTTCTGCTTTCTCTCTCCATACTTACAGCAGATGAAGACTAAGAATATAGGGAGGAGTTGGGCGTGGTGGCATAAGCCTGTAACCCCACCACTCGGGATGTGGAGGCAGGAGGATCACCTCAAGTTGGACGCTAGCCTGGGCTATATAGTGAGTTCAGGGCTAGCCTGAACTTCAAAGGGAGACCCTGCCTCAAAAAACAAAACAAAACAAATAAAAAGAATACAGGGAGGAGGTGTTTAGGGGTATTCTCACCATCTAAGCATTAAGACCTTTTGAAGTAAGACAGAAGTGCAGGAAACTGTCTGGTCTCTCAGATATCTGCTAAGATGTTATCAACATCCCATTCTTCCCTCTCAGGAAAGACTCAAGCTTCCAACAGCTTCCTCAAAAGGATGACCATCAGGGCCAGGGATTTAGCTCAGTGGAGCTGCGCCTGCCTGGCAAGTGCAAGGTTCTGAGTTCGATCCTCAGTACCAAAAAACAAACAAACAAAAAAGGATGACCATTAGCAGGAAGATGATGACACATGGCAGCTAAAAAGCACAGATTCAGAATCCATGGGTTCCTTTTTACATAATAAACTAGTGAGTGGGACAGGATGTGCCTGCAGAAGGCCAGGCCCACTCCAAAGCCCCAGAGACATCAGCTTGCAACATGACTGTGATCACCAGGTCTTCTGCTAGGAGGTGAAGCTGACATTTTCAATACCTCTCCCCTCTCTCCAGGTTGGCGCTGGCCCTAGCCTCCTGGTAAAAGGCATCAGGACAGCTGCAGATCTGAGTTTGGCTCTCCTTTTGGGTAGGGAAAAGGAAAATACGAGAACTCTCTAATATGGAGAGGACCTTGGGTTCCTCTCCTGTCTCCCATTGGAGAGGGCTCACTGTCCCCAGGGGCCCACAGCACAGCAAGTTCACTGCATGCAGATGGCAGAGGCCCTTTCTACTGCTTGAACAGAAGTGACAAGAACCCCAGGGCTCTGTCTTAATACAGCCTACCCTGCTGTGCACTTGATGGTACCAACAGTCTTGGCCCCAGCCTTAGTGGCCTCTCCCTCACTCTAAGAGATGCCCAATCTCAGCTCCCTGGCTGCCCAGGCCACAGGGCTTGCCTTGTCCCATCAGTGGAGCCATACTGTTGACCAGAGCGCTTCAGGAAGGCAAACCACACTGGTTGAGCATAATGCAAAATACTGCTGTGATACGCCCGAAAGTGCTATCTGTAGTTTACTCTGCGATTATTGTGAGGATGGTTTTGGCCAGTTTTACCAAGGGAAAAGGCCCAGAGAGCTGTAGCAACTTGGCTCACCTAACAGATCTGGTGAGCAGTAGGCCCAGCACTGAATCACACTTCTCCAGCTTTGCTGGTCAAAGCCTTTCCACCAGGGCAGGTTTCCCTGTGTGCTTCAGAGCCAGGACAGCCATAGGCTCAGACAGCTGGCATGGTCTTGGAGCAGGTGACATGGAAGGTTTGTTGGCAAACCTTTACCTTTCTTATTTCAGCTCTTGGATTAGGTTCCCACAGCCCACCCCACTTTATTTCTTAACTCTTGACATTGTAAACACATACTGAGCACTCCACATGAACCAGCAAGTTCTTAAAGGCTTTATGGTAGCAGCCTCCTACACGGCATTCTCATCACTGTGTCCCAAAAGGCACCAAGTAGTTTATATCTTCTGCTTCATTTTATCCAGCAACCCTGAGAAGTAGGAGCCAATGTCAGCCCAGTCCTAAAGAGCTAAGGAAAGTGGAGTTCAGAAAAGGGCCACACAATGAGAAAGTGATAGAGAAAAAGGTTTAAACCCAGACTGGGCTCACTTTCAAGCCCCTGCTTTTAACATGTGACTTTGTAACACAAAATCCCTTCCTAGAGAGACAAGAAGAGCTTAAAGCCCATTTAATCCCTGCGTTTATAAATAGATTCACTCAGA